CTGAGGGTGCTGGAGCTGGTGTCCCTGGGGGGTGCTGGAGCTGGTGTCACTGAGGGTGCTGGAGCTGGTGTCACTGAGGGTGCTGGAGCTGGTGTTGCTCACTGAGGGTGCTGGAGCTGGTGTCCCTGGGGGTGCTGGAGCTGGTGTCCCTGAGGGTGCTGGAGCTGTGTCCCTGGGGGTGCTGGAGCTGGTGTCCCTGGGGGTGCTGGAGCTGGTGTCCCTGAGGGTGCTGGAGCTGTGTCCCTGGGGGTGCTGGAGCTGGTGTTGCTCACTGAGGGTGCTGGAGCTGGTGTTGCTCACTGTGGGTGCTGGAGCTGGTGTTGCTCACTGAGGGTACTGGAGCTGGTGTCCCTGAGGGTGCTGGAGCTGGTGTCGCTCACTGCGGGTGGACTTGCTACTTAGGGCAGGCAGGGGAGGGGTCTGTCCTCCGGTGGTGCACAGTGGAAGCCAGCGCTCTACTTGGGACCACATGTGAACAGGAAGGAGAAACCCAAGTCTGGGTATTTGGGGGAGTTCGGTGCTTAGAGGGCTGCCAGGAAGAGGTGAAGGGAGGGGTCAGCAACAGCTGGAAAGCAGACTGGAGCCAGACAAGGTGTGACTGACCAGTCCAGGTACATGGGAGATGATGGAGAGTTCTGGCAGCTTCAGTGTCAGAGACAGTGTAAGGGAGAGACACAAGAAATGCCCACACACTCCAGGCAGCTAGGGCCCTCGGCCAGGTTGATCAGATCAAGGGAGGCCCACTCTGGCCATGGTTAGCCCACAGAAATAAACCTTGAATCTCACTAAAGTCACCTAAAATAGATCTTTCAAAGCACCCTCAAAAATGAAATCTAGGGCTGCAGAGATGGCTTAACAGTTAAGAATGAGTACTGTTCTTCCAAAGGTCCAGAGTTCGATTCCCAGCACCCATGCTGGTAACTCACAACTGCCTGTAACTCCAGCTCAATGAAGCCAAAGTCTCTGGTTTCTACGGGTTCGCATGCACAATTCCCCCCACACCTCCTACACATAATTATTTTTAATTTAAAAAAAAAATATTAAAAAAAAAAAAAGAGCTGGGTTGTGGTTCCAGGACAGCCAGAGATACGTAGTGAGACCCTGTCTCAAAGCCAATCAATCAATCAATAAAATCTAGCATCAAAATACACTGGGAAGGCTAAGCGTAGAAACACAGGCCTATGATCCCTGTTTTCAGGAGGCTGACTGAGGTAGGAAGGTCACAAATATGAGACTGGCCTGGGCTACCCAGTCAGACACTGTCCCCAAGAACCATGAGATTCAGGCAAATAGTAAAAGTTTCTCTCGTGAGGCCCCTAGCTGGAAGTGCAGGATGAGGCCGAGGGCCTTGTGGTGCAGGCCACGCCCTGAGCTACAGCTGCTGCGTCTTGAGAGGAAGGCTGAACAGGCTGAGGTGTCTGGAATGTTCCTGACAGGTGTGGGCTAGGGGCCTGGCCCTCAGAGCTGGTGTGTGCCCAGATTAGGCACTGCCCTCCCCACAGGGGATTTAGCTGGGCCCCTTTCTGAAATGCATACAGCCTGGGGACAGGGTGGGTGTGCCTCTGTTCCGTGACCATGGAGATCAACAGAGCACCCAGGACAGACAGGCCGGGTCCAAGGAAGGCTTGTCCTCAGCCTGGGGCGCCCTCTGTCTGCAGCAAGATGCTCTCCTCTTCAACCTTAACTGCCGGCACTGGAGCAGGAAGAGGCATGTCTGCATTCACCACACACACACACACACACACACACACACCACTACTACTACCACCACCACCACCACCACTACCACCACCACAACAACAACAATACTGGGGGTGTGCTCAGAGTTTAGCACTTGCCTAGGATGTATGAGTCCTCAGCAGGACTACACACACACACACACACACACACACACACACACACACACACACACACTGGCGTCCAGGTCCTACACCAGAAGTCCTAATTTTATCTGGGACACAGCCTGCCTCCTGAGCATGGAATTACTTTATCTTCCAGCAGCTTAAATAAGGTAGGAATTCGTTTTTTCTGGTGTCTGAACACAGCACCGGCCACCGGCAATTCTGCCCACAGTGTCCCAGCCTTCTTCCAGCCACAGGACACAGAGGAGGTCACAGTGATGCGAAGTGTGTTGTCAGCAGCCACGTGGCACCTGTCCTCATTTGCTGTTGACCATTGTCATATGACCACACCTCCCAGAGGGAAGGGCAAGGAGACAGGCAGTATGTTGGGAGGCGCCAAGGTAAATCCTCTTTCTTTAGGACTAAAATGAAGGAGCAATGGGTGGTCTCTGACGCAGACCCTACAAGGCGTGTGTCAAACACCATACATAGTGAAGAGCCTCCTGGGCTGCTGAGACAAACCTGGGCCTCATGTGTGGAAGGCAAACGTTCCACGCTGAGGCTGCACCCCAGCTCTCTGTGGAGATCTGGAAGGTTCCTTGGGTGATTCAATAGAGAGCTAAAATGAAAAACAGAAAGCCAGATGTGGAGGTGCACACCTGTAATCCCAACACTCAGAAAGCTGAGCCCTGAAGATCTCAAACTCAAGGCTCATGTGAGCTACATAGTAAGACCCTGTCTCCGAAGAAGATGGAGGAGGTGGGGAAGAGGAGAGGAGGAGGTGGAGGAGGAGGGAGGAAGGGGGAAGAGGAGAGAGAGAGGAGGGAGAGGGAGGAGGAGGGAGGAAGGGAGAAGAGGAAGACACGCAGCAGCAACTAGGCTTGGTGGCTGTCCACTCGTGATCCCAGCGCTTGAGAGATGGAGGCAGGAGGATTAGCAATTCATGGTCATCCTTGGCTACATTTCCAAATCAAGGCTAGCCCAGGCTACCTGAGACCCAATTTCAAAACTTTAATAAATAAACGACAGTAATTATAATCTCTGCCATGGGGAGTTATAGAGAGGGGTTGTGGGGCTTTTGTTGGTACAGGCCCCCCAAAGAGGAGCAAAAACACAAGGCTTAGTCCTTGGTGTGCCCTGGAAGTGCCTCTGGTAGCAACCCCAGACTGGGGCGGATCTCTGAACAGTGAGCAGGGCCGAGGAAGTGTTACCCCCACCTCAGGATCACAGCAGTTCTGCAGTGTCAGCCCTGTGTGCAGGGCCAGCCCAGTGCACTCCCACTCCCCAGGTGAGGACACCGAGGCTGGCAGTGAAAGTCCTCTGGGTGTTGCCAGCCGGTGAGCTGCCCGTTACGGAGGCTGGAATCCAGGCCCAAGAAACTCGGCGTTCTTCCTGCTCACGGCAGCTACTCTGTCTCGACAGGTATAAGAATGACATCCGGATTGACCCCCGCCTCTTTCCAGCCGGCAAGTACCGAATGACCAACAACTACGGACTCCTGACCCTGGAGATCAGGAGGTAAGCCACAGACCCAACGTGACCCTTCCATGACCTCGGGTCCCAACACCGCTGAGACCAAAGCTGGACCCTGGTGCCCGGGTTTAGTCATCCTCAGAAGGCTTCTAAGATCAGGGGAAACCTTAGGGGTATAGTAAGACTGGTCTTTGAAGCAAGAGAGATCTTGTCCCAAGTGCCAGGGAACAGAGGGACACCAAGGGACGCTTGGCTTGCTGATTGGGCCAGATGGACACATCCCACTCCTACTCTGTCATCAAGGTACCTTGGACAGGAACCAGTCCTGCTTTTTTGGGCACACACAGGGTTGATCTGGCTGGTGATGAGACCCAGGCCTGAAACAGAAGATCTGGGCATTGTGCCTGGCTCTGGCATGGACTGGCACTAGTCCTCAGCAAGTCTACTGGCCTGTGTGAAAGGAGGCAACCCTGCTCCTGGTTTTTGACTTGGAGATGTCAATAGGGCAGGAGGTGGTACCTGGAAAGAGGCACAGACAGCTAGCTGCATTGAGTTTCAGTTGCTGTGGGATTCTGGGAGAATCGCTTCACCTTTCTGATCTTCTACAGTCAGTAATGAATGCAGTATGGAACACGATATTTTCAAAGCCCTTGGGCTGGTTTAGGCTGATGAGATAGCCCTAGTTTTTCAGAGAGACCCAGTGATCAGCCCAAAGACGCACAGCCCAGAGTCTTCCCACCAGGCTTCCTTCTCACCCAGCCTTTCCCATCTGCAGAGCGGCGTGTGCTCCTACCAGATTCTCCCTCCCTCCTTTTCAGATGTACGGTTGAAGACTCAGCCACCTATACTGTGCTGGTGAAGAATGCCTATGGCCAGGCCTCTTCCTTTGCCAAAGTCCTCATCCGCTGTAAGTCCACACATCCTAAGCAGGTCGGGTCCCAAAAGCTCCAAACCAGCAGATGGTCATGGACCTACAGTCACACATGAAGAAAGGGTCATGGTGGCTGAGATTGGGAATCCAGGGGCCTTTGGACTGAGAGAGCCTCCTCTCTCAGACTAGCAAGGACAGCTAGGTAAGTTGATGGCATAAGCGTGACAAAACAGGAACCTCTGTCCCTGGAAATTGATGTGGAGAGCCACCAGGAGGAGAAGGAAGGTGCTAACTTCCCCCGAGCACTCATTATGCATCGAGGGTATACACTCTCTCTATCCTGTGCCGGCCTTGAACTTAGCTCTGTCTACAGGGTCATAACAGGCATGGCTAAGTCACTAGATTTTGTGTGGACAAAGTAGGTAGACGGACTAGAAAAGGAGGACTGCCCTCCATGTGGAGGACAAAACAGACTGGGTTCAGGCCCCAACGCCCCTTGACAGCCCTCCGTGGAGAACCTAGTCGACTGTTCCAGGTGACCATGTCTGCCCATCTCCATGAACATGTTGGAGCCTGACCCAGATGAGAGCCTCCAAGAGGGTGGTCCAGGCGCGCAGAGGATGTCTAAGCCTCCCGACGGCCTCCCCCACTGATGCTCTTGGCTTTCTCGTGTGCATTTTCCTGTTGGTCTCGTCCCCTCCTAGATGTTGCCCCATGAACATTCAAACAGCACAGCTCACAGCAGGTCAGACACCCAGGCATCAGTCAGACCTGGCTTCCCACCCTGCCTCTGCCCCAGCTAGCCGGGATCCTGCTTCTGCCTCAGACTGCCATACTGCTCCTGGGAGAGGATGTTGTCCTCTGTCCCTCTGTGAATGCCACACCTGGCTTTCAGGGCTCTGGAGTGAGAGGCCCGCGGTTGGTGTATTCTCTCTGTGTGTCTCTCTGTCTCTGTCTCTGTGTCTCTTTCTCTCTCTCTCTGTCCCTCATCCAAGCAGGGCAGCTGTCCAGCCCTGCCCTCCTTGCTTGTCTCCATCCTTGTTAAACTGTCCTGCGCAATCCTCTACTCTGTACATTCCTGAGATAGCTCTCAGGAGGCAGCTGTCCCTGTCACCAATCCTGCTCCTCTATGTAGACATTTGAGCTGCCCCCTAGCCTGTGCCCAGAGTGAAGCCCAAGGTCACACACTGGCCATACACTGTCTCTCTGGCCAACCCTCTCTCCCTCCCTCCCTCCATCAAGGCCAGCAATTCAAGGATCCCTGCCCGGGGCATCAGCTCACAGATACTATTGCTGCCCTCTATGTCATCTCCATGGTAACAGGGGTGCTGTCTCTACGCATGTTCCTGTGCTGGGAGACAAGACCCAAGGGTCTAATACTGAATCTCCCACCAGCTCTGTGTGCCACCTGGAACCTCCCCCTACCCTTTCCGGACCTAACCCTGGGACCAGGGTCACATCATGGCTCAGGCTGCTGGGGTTAGCTGAGTGACTCTGCCTCGGTTTCTCCATCTGTGAGGATAGCTCTTGGCTGGCTGGGGTGGGGGGTGCCATGTCTATTTTACTCTGAACTTCCAGTCTCTGTGACGATACCCCCCAGAAAGCCCAGAGTCTCTGGCCAGGATTGTCCCCTTTGAAGACAGTGTACAATCCTGTCAGGAACTCTAGACAGAGGAGGAAAACCAGCATTTATGAAGCACCTACTGTGTACAGGGCACTGACTGGGGCCAGTTTGTCCACAACCCACATCTTCAAGGAGCACTCACAGCTCCCATTTTATTGGTAAAGAAACTGAGGCACAGGAACATAATGATTTTTTCCCCAGGGGTGCTGCAGGGGTCACTGACATGTCAGGACTCAAACCCACACCCAAGGCCATGTCCCCAAATGTATAGGATTGTGGGATCTGAGTCCTCTCTAGCCATGTTTGCCTTATTTTTGCAGCTTACCTGGGAAAGGATGCTGGCTTTGATTCTGAGATCTTTAAACGTAAGTGGGCTGGGGGCTGGGGGGAGTGCACAGGGCGTCTGGGATCCTTCCTGCTCAGAATAGTCACTATTGCCTGCAAAGGCTGTCCACAGAAGGCTGTCTGTCACAGGCACAGATTCCTACTGACATGCCCACTTACGGGGTTCCCTCCTCCCACCCCACGATGTCTTTCCCTGCTGATATCCCTTTGAGAACTGTGAATCCTGACCTAGAGGAAAGAGGACAGCCCAGAAGAGTCCTTGCTCCTATTTAGTCCCTGGGACAGGCTGGTGTTCAAAAGGACTTTGATCTCATGTTTCTGTCCCCACCCAGGATCTATGTTCGGCCCCAGCGTGGAGTTTGCATCGGTGTTGAAGCCAATCTTTGCCCGAGAGAAAGAGCCCTTCTCCCTGACCTGTTTGTTCTCGGACGATGTGTTAGAAGCTGAGCAGAGGATCCAATGGTTCAGAGACGGTGAGGCCTTGGCCTTCCAAGGCAGAGCCCCACTCCCTCCCAACCAGGGACAACACCCAGTCAGCCATGCCCCTTCCCCAGGCAGTGCCAGAGGAGTGATGGGCACAACCAGGTGGAGTCACGAGTTGTCTCCGCTTCTTTTCCTGGTGCCGAGATACAGCACCCTGGCAATAGCAGCTTGAGGGAGAAAGGGCTTATTTCGGCTCACGGTTCAAGGGCACAGTCTACCATGGCAGGGAAGCCATGACAGCAGGAACATGAAGCGGCTGGTCACATCCCATCCACAGCTAGGGAAGCAGAGAGCAGTGAGCGATGAACGCTAGCTTCTGCTCAGCGCCCTTTCCCTAGACAGTCCAGGACCCGGTCAGGGAAAGTGCTGCTCTTGTGGATGGGTCTTCCCACCTCAACGAATGCAATCAAGAGAATCCCCCACAGGCACACCCTGAACTCACAGTCTTATTCTTAAGCATCCTTAGTCTGATGAAGGAGGCTCAGCGCTGTCCTTAGGAATCCCTACTCTGAGGGGAAGAAACAGCTAGTCTGATGGAAGGCACCAGACCCATCCCTAGGAGACAGCTGTTCAGGGAAGAGTCGTGGCTGCTTCTTGAGGTGCCCTCAGTCTGAGGGAGGCAATCAGTCTGCCCTGAAGAGCACCATCTCTGGGGGTGCTGGGGGCACAGTTCTCTCAGTCCTTAGAAATCATCCTGCCTCAGATTTGCCCCAAGCTCCTGTCTGTTTCTATCTGCCCCACTTTGGACTCCAAGACTCCACTCTGAATTCAGGTCCAGGAGTGGGTAGAGACGAGCATGGCCTTCAGGAGTTGTATGTCAGAGAAGCCACCAGAGCCACCGCCAGTGAGGTCTACCCAGGTGGCTGTGATCAGGCACCGGCCTCATGTGTCTCCCCTACCCTGGAGTGAGCAATGATATTTGAGACAAAGGGACCAGAGGCCAAGGTCAGGGGGTAAGACAGGCTGTGTGGCTCATTCCAGGCTTTTTGAAGACAGTGTATGATGTACGAGTGCATACATGTGTACAAGTGCATGCACTTGTGTGTGTGTGTGTGTGTGTGTGTGTGTGTGTGTGTGTGTGTGTGTTCAAGATAAAGAGCTCCAGACTGGGAAAGGCTAGAGCAGGCTGCTCTGTGAGGACAGGGGACAGTTGAGCCTCTGGTCCTGACTGTGGCCAGGCCTGCAGCCTAAGAACAAGGAACACACAGCCTCCTCCCTCCCCATGCCCTTGCCTTGAGCCCAGGGAGGAGGCACCTGCTGGGGGGTGGAGCGGAGGAACGCCGAGGGACAGCTGCAATAACAAGACCTGTGTGTTCTCCCAAACCTGTCCATCATTCAAAATAGAGTGCTGACAGGAAGACAGGAAGGAGGGGCTCCGGAGACAAGAAAGGACTGTCCTCCAAGGCAGCTCAGGGAAGGCTGCTCGGAGAGCCCCACTCAAGGTCCTAGTCACAGATCGCCCAGTCCTTCTGCTGACCTCTGCCCCCCTTGCCCAGGCCTCTGCCCTCCTCACTGTGAGAGACCCTGGCCCTTCACTGAGTTCCCTTCGCTCTCAGTCCACTTCCTACATTAAAGTGCAGAAGCAGCCCTTTTGACAGGGGACTTGCCTACCAAGCCTGAAGCCCTGGCTTCCATTCCCAGGACCACATAAGTAGGGCATGAAAGCATATGCCTGTCGTCCCAGCACCCAGGAGGCAGAGGCAGGAGGATCAGAAGTCTGAAGGATACATAGGCTACATGAGACTTTATCTCAAAAAAAAAAAAAAATCACTACTTCCATCCAGTGAGTCCCCCATGAGAACCCTCATGAAGGGTTCCTCTCTTCTTCCCACAGAACTAGTTCCTCACCTGCTAATTATCTTCCTAATCCTTTACCCTCTCCTTGAGCCCCAACCTTCCTGAGCTCTGGTCCCATCCTCCAAATATCTTAGAAGAAAGTCCAGAGCCCGAACTGTCAGATCTCTGAAAGCCCTCAGGATCTACCTCCACCATCAACCTGGACCTCAGCCTTGAGCCACACCAGCTCTCTCTTGCCCCTGGCCAGGGCCTCCAGAACCCCGAGCTGCTGTGAGCTCCTGGGTGAGGCCAGGATCCCCCATGAGCTCACGCTGGACCATCTTCCCCTCCACAGGCAGGCTGCTGAGGTCTTCAAGCCGCAGGCAGATGCTCTACGCAGACCGCCAGGCATCCGTGAGGGTGTCCTGCGCCTACAAGGAGGATGAAGGGCTCTACATGGTCCGAGTTTCCTCCCCCTTTGGGCTGCAGGAGCAGAGTGCTTACGTCTTTATAAGAGGTAAGGGGTGGTGCTCAAGAGGAGCAGCTGGAACCAGAGACCACAGCTCGGCAGGGGAGACTTTGTCTAAGGCCCCCCCGTACTCTTCAAAGCCTGGGTTCCTCTGCTATAAGATGAGGAGCTGGGTTGGGTCCCTGCAGTAGCAACATCCTGTGGATCCTAAGAGACACAACCAAGTCTCCACAGTCCCCAATAGGAGACGCAGTGGGGACCAGGAGGGAGGGCTCTGTACAGTGTTGGAAGGCTCTGGTCACTGACTTCTGCTCCTGGTGTCTTAACCCTGCTTGTGTTCAGCTCCTGGCTTGGTGGTTCTGTGAGCAGGGTGTCCGTGAATGTATTGCTTTACCTCTGTGAGACTCGATTCCTCAGCTCTAAAACGGACATTGCTCTGGAGTTCACAGATCGATTGTTCAGATGCCTGGTATAAAATGGCACCTAATAAATGACACGTCGCCCCTCCCCCAGATGCATCTGTCTAGCGGGGGCCAGGTTAGCCCCCAGTCACTGGTCCTCCAGGTCAGAACAGGCCCTGGAAGACTCAGGGAAAAGGAGGTCAGACAGGGGGTAGGGGGAGGTCTAGGGGCCAAATGGTCTCAGGGGATGAGTCCTTATTGTTGGTTGTTTTTGCTCTTTTTGGGGGGCCCACCACCCGGCTTCCAAATCACGCATGGAGACTTATTCTTACTTATAAGTGCCCCCTCCTTAGCTTGGCTTGCTTCTTGCCAGCTTTCCTTAAGTTATGTCCTCTATCTTTTGCCTCTGGACTTTTCCTGTTCTCTTACTTCTGTAAATCCTCCTCCTTCTCTGGCTACTTCTTTGATCTTTCCTCCCAGATTCCTTTTTTTTTGTTTTGTTTTGTTTTGTTTTGTTTTGTTTTGTTTTGTTTTGTTTTTTCAAGACAGGGTTTCTCTGTTGTAGCTTTGGTACCTGTCCTGGATCTCGCTCTGTAGATCAGGCTGGCTTTGAACTCACAGAGATCTGCCTGGCTCTGCCTCCCGAGTGCTGGGATTAAAGGTGTGCGCCACCACTGTCTGGCTCAGATTTTGCCTTCTTTTAATTTTCTCTGCCTGCCAGCTCTGCCTATCCTTTCTCCTGCCTAGCTATTGGCCGTTCAGCTCTTTATTAGACCATCAGGTGTTCTGGACAGGCACAGTAACACAGCTTCACAGAGTTAAACAAATGCAACATAAACAAAAGTAACACACCTTCAAATAATATTCCCTAACAAGTCCTCCCCCCCGCTCTGGGGTTCAGATGCTGCAGCTGAGAAGCCAGGAGTCCCAGGCTCCCCACTAAATGTCCGGTGTCTGAATGTGCATAGAGACTGCCTGACCCTGACCTGGGCCCCACCCAGTGACACCCGGGGCAGCATCATCACTGGTTACTCCATCGAGCTGTGAGTTACATTCTGGTGTGGCAATGCCGCTTGGGCAGAATACTGACAAACAGCTTGTTGTGGGGGTGGGGGCAAGAGGTGGGAAAAACAAACTCCAAGCTGGGTGTCTCACCCCTGATTCTCAGAACAGGGCAAGGGGCTAACAGTAAGACAGCCTAGAGACAGTGCAAGGTGTCCATTTTTCCAAATCTCTTTCACAGTGATGCCTAGAATTCCAGGACAAAACCATTAAGTACTTTGAAGCCTGAGTCCCTGTGAATTTGGTGGCTAGGTCAGACCCCAGAAGGGGACACACTGAGTGGGGAAAGAGGGGTGCAGACACAGAACTCCCTACCTCCTTCATGTGCTGTGGACGCTGAAGCCGGAGCTAAGGAGAAAACCAGGCCTAAGAGAAGAGGGGGCAGTGACTGCTGTGTGTGCCTGGGCCGGTTTTCTAGCTCTCTAAGAATGCAGGGACAGAGGAAGACAAAATCCAAGTGGGGGTGAAGGTCCCATCATGGTGTTGTGGACACAGCTCTCCAGAGGCACTGGACCTTTCCATCATGGCGGTGGATGGTGAAAGGTCTCTAGGCCCAGGCTGGGGCAAGGCTTCTTTCTAAGTGGGAGTAGAGGACATGCATAGGCAGAAGGCAGCTGCGGCCTGTGTGCAGGAAACAGCCCCTGTAGGAGCTCAGACATGAAGGGCTGAAAGCCAGGGTCTATTTCCACAGGTGCCAGGGTGATTCGGAGGAATGGGTACCCTGCCATATGGCCCCTGGGGGAACCTGTCGGTGCCCGATCCAAGGCCTCATTGAAGGGCAGAGTTATCGATTCCGAGTGCGAGCCATGAGCAAGGCCGGCAGCAGCCTCCCTTCCAAGGCCTCAGAAGTGGTTGTCATGGGTGACCATGATGCAGCCCAGAGGAAGACAGGTGAGTATGGAGATCCTGAGGGGACCCTGGAGGGACCCAGTCAGGGCTCTCAGAATAGACTGCCTCAATGGGAAAGAGGTGACCTGTGCCCATTGTCAATGCTGCTGTAAAACACCTAATAAACAGAGCGTAAGAAAGGAAACGGCTTGTTTGGGCTCCCAGTTTGAGGGTACAGTCCCTCACAGCGGGAGAGCCATGACCCTGGGAGCACAAAGCAGCTGGTCACATTGTATTCATGGTCAGGAAGCAGAGAGAGATGGCCACCACTGGTGATCTCAATTTCTTCTTTTTACTTAGTCCAGAACCCCAGCCCACAGAATGTGCCACATGGCAGCTCACAATAGTCTGTAACTCCAGTTCCAGGGGACCTGACACCCTCACACAGACATACATGCAGGCAAAACACCCGTGTACATAAAATAAAATTAAAAAAAAAATGATGACACACACACATTTAGGACAGGTCTTTCCACCTCATATGACTCCCTCACAGACGTGCTCAGAGGTTTGTTTCTATGGTGATTGTAAATTCTGTCAAATTGACAGTCTAACACTAACCATCGCCCAGCCTCCAGGAAGCCCCGAGTCTGAGATTAAGAAAAAGAAGAAGAAGAAGATACTGCCAGCCCTAGTTTGATGAGAACTCATAGTCTGATTCTTGAGTATCCTTAGTCTGGTGGAGGAGGCATGGTCCTGTCTTTAGGAAGCCCTCCTCTGAGGGGGAAGAAACAGCTGGTCTGGTGGAAGGCACCAGACCCATCCCTAAGAGACACCTGACCAATCTCTGATCACAGCTGCTACTTCAGGTGCCCTCAGTCTGAGGGAGGTGACCACTTGCCCTCAAGCCCCACCTCTGGGGGTGTTGGAGACACAGCTCTCCCAGCCCTTAGAAGTCACCATGCCTTGGGTTTGCCCCAACTCCATGAACTTGAAGCATGTGGTTCCTGTGTCTGGCTCCATCTGCCTCCAGAACAACAGGGCCCACTTGGGACTCTAAGAAAGCAAGACCCAGAAGGCCCATTCCTGAAGCTGCATGGCCAGGGCTGCTAGGCCAAGCAGAATCAGGCAGGATACAGAACCAAAGGTGACTCCTGACCCAATCTCCTGTGCTCCATCCTGCTCCCTAGAGATTCCCTATGACCTGGGCAGCAAGATCACCATCAGCAAGAGTGACTTTGAAGGTATGTGTGACCTTCTCCAGCTCTGTCCTTGGACCCAGCCCCTCACAGTTCCAGGACTTGTGTTCATTGGCTGCCAGAACAGGGAAGCTATTGTGTTCAAAGTATAGAAGGATCTACTCAGAAAAACCAAACATGGGTCCCCATAGAGTGCCTGGCTGTGCCTCTGTGGAATAAATGACTTCCCAGGACCCTGGGCAGGGCCTCAGGGAACCAGGGTCTGGGTTTGCTGGGTGAGCTAGGGCAATCTTCTGCCCCCCCCACCACCACCCCCATGCTCCTAGCACCCTCTGTGGAATGCAGGGCTGAGATTAGGGGTCACTGAGGGCAAACTCATCTCTCTCTTGATGACTCTGGATTCCAGATGCTGTAACCATTCCCTCAGCCCCAACCAATGTCCACGCCAGTGAGATCAGAGAGGCCTACGCAGTTCTGAGCTGGGAGGAGCCACGCCCCCATGGCAGAGCCCCACTGACTTACTCTCTGGAAAAGGTACAGATGGGACTGAGAAACAGCCCTGGGATAGCCTAAGACATAGGCAGCTATGGGATCTGGGGTGGAGGCGGTGCAGAATGTGGAGAGCCCCAGGAACAACTTTGGGGTCTTCAGAGATGGGAATTACTGCCTGGAAGAGCCTGAGCTAAGCCTTACTCTAAGGCAGGAGGATGGATTACATGACCTTTTTGTGGTGAAAGCCAAGGTAATTACATAGTGCTCCCTAGGGTCAGACAGCTGTAACTACAATGAGATCCGCTGGCTTCCTGGGCACCTCCACACCTCCAGGTCAATGGCATAGGGCCACACCCAGGGCCCAGCACTCGTGCTGAATGGCAAGTGAGGCTTACACTCACCAGACAGGGCACTGAGTAATGGTCCTCACTAGAGACCGAGATGGAGCCGGGGAGCCTGTGAAGGAGGTGGAAGGAAGATGGCCCTTCTTTCTTATCCAAGCAGAAGACAACAATGATAGGCTCCAGTCAAATCCAAGCTCTGCTGTCTGGGTCTGAACCGGTTTCCTAAGCTCGCTGTGGCTCAGTGTCCTCCGTCCTGTTTTGGCAGTCTGCCTTGGGGGGTTGGGGAGAACACTACACATAGCCAGAGCTCGTAACTGCAGCTCACTCACCTCCCCAAAGGCAGAGTCTGAGTTAGTAGATGACGTAACTGTTAGGGTCCTCGAGAAGTCCCATAAAAGACTACCAGTCACATATGCAATCTGCAAGAGTGTTTAATAAAAAAAAAAAAAATTCCAGCATGCTGGGGTCAAGCCATCTGACAAAGAGGCTAAGGGTGACCCCAAGAGAAGCTTGCAGACTCCTTTTAAGCACAGCTAGGGGAATTCCAGCTGTGGTTAACTGGACTTTGAAGCGATTGAATATAGACCCTGGTACAGGAATCATTTTATGATTGGCTCCTGATGTCTAGTCACCAACTGTGGTTACAGTGTCGGGGTCTGTCTGCTATGTCAGGGGTCTGTGTGCTGGGTCAGGGGTCTGTGTGCTGTGTCAGGGGTCTGTGTGCTGTGTCAGG